GGACAGGAGACACGAGAAATGGAGGCAAGACAAAGATTCTGATCAAGCCTCCTTTATTTAGGGGAGGTTCTGGGTATATATAGGGGGTGATGGAATGAGGAAGTCTCGGCTCTTGGGGTCAGCAGGTATCTAGGCAACGGGGAGGGTGCAACCCCTAGGGCATAGCATGTGATTCACAGGGAATGGGCAAGGTGAGAAGGCCCATAAACTTGACTCAGCAGGGGAATAGAATGGATACCGGTTAATGGCCTCCAACACATTATAATGGCAAATTTTTTATAAAATAAAAACAGAGGGCCAGCAAGATAGCTCAGCAAACTAAAGTGCCTGCTGAGGCAAGCTTAGGCAAACTCAGGGACCATGGTTCAATCCCCAGCACCACACGCCACGTGAGCCCCACTCCAGGGCGGACTGAGCCGGCCAGAGTCCAGACATAATGGTGCATGCCTGTAATCCCAGTGCTGGGGAGGCTGAAAGCAGGAGGATCACCATAAGTCCAAGCTGCATAGTGAGACCCTGCAAAAATCAAATGCATTAAAAATAATAAATAAATGAGATAAAAACAGAGTGCTTACTTGAGCAGCACATATACTAAAAATTGAAACAATACAGAAAAGATTAGCAAGTCCCCTGCACAAGGATGATACACAAATTTGTGAAGCATTCTATATTTTAATAAAATAAAAACAAGTGTAACAAATACTGGTAAAGATATGGAGAATTGGAACTCGTGTACATACTGAATGGAAATATAAAAGGGTACAGCTGTCATAAACAGTATGACTGTACACAAATATTCACAGAAGCATTATTCACAAGAACCAAAAGTTGTCAGCTACCCACCTGATGAATGGATAAGTGAGTGTGGCATATCCATGCTACTGAATGTTGCTCATCAGTCATAAATAAAATTGCCAATATGTGCTACAATCCAGAATAAACTTCCACTGTGCTAAGTGAAAAAAGCCAAGGACAGAAGGCCACATGCTACCAGATTGAATTGATGGAGGAATGGGGTATGGCCACTTATGTGTACAGAATTTCCTTTTAGGGATTGTGAAACAATTCTGGAGAGATATGGTGATAATGGTTGTACAGCACTGTAAATATACTAAATGCTAGTAAATTATGTATTTTATTTTATTTTTTTATTTTTTTTTTTTGGTGGAACCTGGGATTGAACTCAGACCCTTGCACTTGCCAGGAAAGCGCTTATTCTACTGAGCCATCTTCCTGGCCCCTAAGTTATGTATTTTAAATCACTAAAAATGGTAAATCTGCATTTTACTAAGATAAATAATGAAAGCATAGTATTTAGTAGCTATTCAACTTGGGAAAATAATATGAAAAGTGATAACTGGCTTAGTTCATGTAGTGATTCTCTTTCAGCAAAAAATATGAAGGGAATCTAAATAAGTTAATTTTTTGTCTTGGCATCATGTAGACACAACTCTCAAAAGGAACATGATTATGGGGCACAGTCACACACACCTTAAGCCTAGCTTCTCAGGAGACTGAGACAAGAGGATCACAAGTTCCAGTTAGCCTGGGCAACTTAGTGAAACCCTCCTTAAACTAAAAATATAAAGGATTGGAAATATCAATCTGGCAGAATGCTTGCCTAGCATATGCAAAGCCCTGGGTTCAAACACTAGGACCACACCCACCAAAAGAAGTAATATGGTCTAGACTTGTGCTATCTGTAATAGTAACTAGTAGCTGTACATGGTTATTTATAATTTTATTTAAAAATTAGATTCCTCGGTTTCACTAGCCACAGTTTAAATACTTCCTAGCCACGTCGGCCAGTGGCTGTCATATCGAATAAAAAGCATTGCCTCCACTGTGGAGAGCTGGGTGGGACATTGCTGATCCCAACAGGGCCTTCTTGCTTTGTCATAACATGGCAGGTGTCACATGCCAAACTATACACAGGAAAGAGCGAGAAAAAGCTGAACTCACTTTATAATGAACCCACTTTCTCAATAATGAACTCACTGTCTCAGATAGATTATATTTTTTTAGATTATATTTTTAATCAGTACAGGATTATATTAGAGATTTAATGAGATATATTTTTCTACATTTCAAGTGAAAACTTCTTTACTAGTTGATCATCATGAAACTTACAGGGCCGGCAAGACAACTCAGTGGACTAAGCACCTGCTTTGATAAGAGCAGAGACCAGGGTTTGATCCCAGGTCCCGCACACCCTGCCAGCCCTGCCCCTGGGGCCCACTGGGCCAGTGACAGAGTCCAGGCGTGGTGACACATGCCTATAATTACAGCACTGGGGAGGCTGAAAACAGGAGGATCACTCCAAGACCCTGTACCAAATACACAAGTGGAAAAAAAAAAAAAAAAGGAAAACAAAATACAAATAAGTATAAATGTTTCCCAATAGCAATCAAATACTACACTAGGTTTTAAACATTTTGTTACAATTACAAATTTAGTTCAAAGATTCAATGAATGCAACTAGAGACCACACTCATAAGTGAAATAAATCACACACACGTGTAAACATCATACTGTCTCCCCAGAATGAGAAGCTGAAAGAGTAAATAAAATCTGAAAGGTGAAATAAATATTGTGAACTGGAAAGAAACTGCTCAAAAGGAAGGACTAGAATGGGAGAAAGGAGGAAAGAAAGAAAGAACAGAAAGAAAGAAAGAAAGAAAGAAAGAAAGAAAGAAAGAAAGAAAGAAGAAAGAAATCCTCCAAAGAAAGAAAGTGATCTTCCAAGTCTGAGAAAGAATATAGATTTACAAGATAGTTAAGATAATTGTACTAATATCTATTGGTTTATTGAAAGGAACAGTTAATGCCTGTTTGGTCAATTCTGCATCCCTATATTTGGTAATCAGAGCAAGTACTTTGAAGAAAACAATATGCAATATGATAATTATTGTTAATTTCCTACCATTTTGTTTTGAAATTATGTAAAAAAAATTCAGCCAAGGAACCTCCTATACTATATCACTCAGTGTTTATTACAGAAACAAGATACACAAATATATAAGAATTGACAAGACTGGCACACAACAGCCACCCGCAGAGTTGGGTGTGGGGGAGTGCAGTGGGGCTGTCTGGGCACTGGAGCACTGGAGCTCATCGCTGTGTCCCCTCTGCGTCCCTATCAGAGGCTGAAGATCTGCACTGGAGGCTGAAGACACTGTCCAAGGTGAAGGTGCAGGCTGAGCTCCTCCGAGGACGCAGAAGCAAGAAGCAAGGCTTCCTTCTTTAGTTCCTTTCTATACCATCCTGGTGATGGTCCTCCCTTGGGTAGGTCCTCTGTACCCAGAACTAAGCTGAATTAATTCAGTTGGGCATTTGTTACTCAAATTGACAGTGAGCTACCACACGTATCAATCCTTTTTTTTCATTGACACAATCATTATATGTATTTATGGGATGCAGTGTGTGTTTTACTTTCCTCATTGCTGAGACAAAACACTCACTACCCAAATTTTTAAAATGAAAGGTTTATTTGGCTCACAGTTTGTAGAGGTTTCACTCCATACTTTTCTGGCTTCAAGGCAGGGCAGCATAACAGAGGGGCATTGCAGAAGAGAAATTGTCCATAGCAGTAGAAAGGTGCAAAAGCAACAAGCCACAAGCAGCAAAGGACAAGCAGGGATCCTCAGTCCGTCTCTTATAGTCTACCCAGCTACCCACTATTACCGCAGGTAGCACTCACACCCAGGGTGGCACAGCTTTAATCCTAGTGTTGCATCATGAATCAACCCCAGCACCACATCCTTGATCCCAGCATTACTCACCCATGATCTAGCTGCCACAACTCCATGAGGCTTCTGGGGACATCTGGACACAAGCCAGGAGAGTGCAATGATCAAATAGGGGCCATTAGGCCATCTGTCATCTCAAACATTTGTCTTTGCTTTGTGTTGGGAACGTTCAACTCCTCTCTCCTAGCTATTTTGAAATGTACAACACATTAACTTCTGGTTCTAGGTAAGGCCAGCCGCCACCATCTTTGTAGAGACATCATGGTGCCCCTGCTGTGCAGCACCCTAGGCCTTCCCTGATGAGGGCTGTGCAAGGGTTTTTTGGTACAGATGAGAGACAGGAGAAGAACAAAGGCATTTATTGCTCAGTGTGGAAGGGCTACTTAAAGATAAGCAAGGAATCTTCAGACCTGAGACAAAAGAGCTCGAGCTTTTACAAGTTTAGGCTGGGATAGAGTTAAGAGGGACTGAGTGACATCTCAGGAGGTGAGTGGGGCTACTAAAGCAGGGTGTCAGGAGCTGACTGGGGGAGTATTAGCCTGCCTAAGAGGAAGAGGAAGGTTTTCCTTGAGAAAAAAGGGGAAGTAGGCCATGGGCTATTATTGTTCTTGGCTCCTGCCCTGATGATTAGACAGATTTTTGACCATTATTTGTTTGTGGAGTTTAAAAGAAAGTTGTTGGTAGAGGTGGGTAGCAGAACGCATTTCCCCTGTCCAGAGACCAGTTTTAAGGACAGAGAGTATTGTTATATCCATAAGGACTAGGATATGAACAGCTCTTGTTTTTTTTTTTTTTTTTTAAGTGACATGTGTATTTTGTGGTTGTACTACAGTAGTGTTATGGGTCGCTCAGAATAGGAACCAGATCAGCCAGATTAGAATTTGGAAAGCCATTTACTACTGAGCTCAGGACCCCCATCAGCTCTCAGGCAGGAGAGGACCAAAAGGTGCCTTGTCCAGGAAGCAGGGGGGGTTTAAAACATGGAACCACAATCCATTTGGTAAACAAATTCATTGTCTGACACAAAACAATGCTTTCAGGGTCAGTGTAACCACTACTCAAACTATATTTCCTGGGGCTTTCTTTTAGTTTTTGGTTAATTTGCACCTGAGTACCTACAGGCAGCCTTGCATAGCCCAAGGTTACAAGAAGTTAAAGCCCATTTAATTTCCTTTTGAAGTCATCTCTGTAAGCTAACTTTGTTAACAGGACTTGGTGAGGGTTACAGGAATTGGTGAGGGTTATAGGAATTTTATCTAGCAAACAGCAAGAAACAGCCACTAGTTACTAAACAACTTAGAACCGTGGTGAGTATACATTTTTACACAACAGAAAACGAAAGATTTACATTTATAATCTAAAATGTGAGTTGACCCATTACAGGCTCAGGTATCTTTCAGGTTGGGAGTTCATTTCCCTATATCAGTAAAGAAGAGAGGTGTCTCAGTGTGTGGGAGAGCTACATGTAGGTCTCGTCTTGTGGAACACAGAGCTAGCATTTAGTGAGGTTGGCCAAACATGAGAGAGTGTCACATGAATGTGAAAGGAGCTGGGGAATGAGGGAGGGATGGTTTGTGTGTAAGTCAGCAAGCGACTTTGACGTAGAAGTCATTGGTGTATCAAGGACAGGTGGTGGCTGTTGTAACCCAAGAAGGAGACAATGAGGCAAAACGTCCAAAAAGATGGTAGCGCTTTATTTTAGCTGGTACCCAGCGGCACCCTCAGGGTCCAAGAGACAGAGAAGAGCCCTGGGTAAGGGGAGGCACAGTAATTTAAACCCAAAAACCGCAAGACTGCCCATCCAAGCAAGCCGATCACAGAAGCCAATAGCAGATGTTAATGTGGTTAAGGGGGCACATGACCTTTTACAGGATTGGTTGTAGCCCACCTGGAGGAAGCTGGACACAGAGGAGTTACCCCTTTGGA